GAACGTGGCCGTGAGCTGGGAATCGAGTTCGGTCCGAGGGTAAGACGCCAGCAGCTCGTTGGCCACGTGGCTCTGCATCTGCAAGGTTGTGCTGTAGGCCGACAGATCCACCGAGTCCGACGTGGCGTCGGCTATCTGCTGATCCACTTCGGCCGCACAGTGTCGGGGTGGGTCCGGCCATTTGTTTTGATGCCGGGGCCTGTGATCGGCACAAAGTGGAGTGCAGCGTGCTGGTAGGAGTGCAATTCAGGACTGGCAGTAAATAGGTACAGTGCCCTGCGCTTCGCCCTGTGCCCCTGCCTATCCCGACCCGTCTCAGGTGTTTCTTTCGCCGGCTCCGTCGGAGTTGGGACTTTTCAGGGGGCTACAGGCGCAGGGGCTCCAAGGCTGCCAGGTTTAGACTGCCAGGTTTCGGTGTTCGGTCTCCCTGGTCACTTCCCCTGTCCTCTCCCCGCAGCTCCGGTCTCGTGGCCAGGTTCGTCGCCGTCATCCTCTTCTCGCCGAGGTCCGTGTCGAGCTTGGGGTTTCCAGGGTCCGCTTGTGGTTTTGGTTTGGGGGTTGAGGTTTGGGGGGCTCCGAGGCAGTGCCCCACGTCTCCGGGAAGCCCCCTATACCCCCCATTCTGGCCAGGCCGTCCTGGTCACGACTTCGCTTCGGGAGGCACGTTGGGTCGTGACTGCTGCTCCGCCAGCCGGTGTTGTGTGTCGATTGCACGTTGACTTTTGCCACTAGGGCTCTCTTGAACAGCGCAGCGTGGCCGCATCAGCGATCTTCAACGTTCCCACTCGAAGCTCGCATTGGCTTTGCTTGGCGGTTCGGCGACGAAGTTCGTGCCGCCACAGGCCGGCGTTGGTCCGCTACTATCGTGTCAACACACAATCTTGCTGCAGAAGCTGTCTGTGCAGAAAGGTTTGTACGTGCCTTTGTACGTGCCAGCAGGCCGGGAGGCTTTGAGTACCCGGCAGGTGCGCGAGGCTACGATCACTGCGACACCGTCTCAGGCTGCGCAGGCTTGAGCGGAGTCCGAGAGAGCGCTCTTTTTCGGCCGGCGCGAGGATCGGCGCCACGGTGGCGCGCATCAGGCGTGCCGACTCCGGCCACGACAGCATGACGACCTTCTGGAGGCATTGGGGTGCTGTTTTGGACCGCGTGATTGAAGGCTTGATTTGCGCTGAATTTGTTGTCAGGGATCCTACCGTTGCGCAGCATGGGCTTTCGAATTGCCTCATCTGCGATCTTCTAGGCTTTTTCCTCGTCCGCCATGGCATCACGAAGCCTTGGAGTGCTTGCGCTGGTTCTGCTGACCGCTTTGGCGCCGGCGTTTGTGGCGCAGGCGGGAGCCGGTCACCGGAAAGGAGGCCGGAGGTGTTGAGACAGTATCTTGCTGCAGGTGCGCAGGGTGACGCAGCATCCTCCTGTGAGTCGAGCATTGCCCACCACCAAGGCCGGGGGTTTCGACCTGCAGGCACTCATAGATCTCTGCGTGCCGCAAGCCAGGTTGCGTTGTTTGGAGGAACTGTGCGGAGTTTGGAGAGACCACCAGCGAAGCTCCGAGCACGGGGTCTGCCCGGATGGCTCCCATGGCTTGGTTGAAGGCATCAGCATGTCTCCATTTGGAAGAAGCTCCTGCTGGAGCATGACAGAGCCGATTTCGCCCTTATGATTTCATTGCTTACATTCATCCTGAATGTCGGAAACGTCTCAAGAGCATTCCAGCAGACGGACGCAGGTAAGGTGCGGAAGGCAATGGCCAAAATGATGAAGGCCTTCGAACCCGAGCTGGCGAAGACGATGGTAGCGGAACGAGAAGTTGTCGAACGTATCGAAACTCGACTCAGGAGTTGGCAAGGCCACGCCACGATCATCGCCGGCCGCTTCGGCTCCGGCAAATCGGTGGCACTCGAAGAGGCCCTGCGCGACAGGCGGGGCGTCTACGTCCACTTCGTTAAGGACAAGGATTGGGAGAATTCGCTCTACAAGGACCTGGGCCTGGACAACCTGGGCATGTTGAAGGATGCCCTGCGCCTGGTCAGAAAGCGGAACCACGGGTCGACCCCCATCCTCGTATTTGATATTCCTCGAACAACGAAGGAAGGCGCGACGTCGGCAACTTTGGTTGTTTTGTGTTTGATTCGCTTGGGTGCAGGCATGGATACGGTTTCCGCCTTCGCCAAGATTCTGTCGTCGGACAGTTCGCTGGCACACGCCGGGACCCGAAGACTCAGCCGCCCTGTTTCGCTGTGCTGCGGTAGGATCTTGTGCAAGCTGTTCGCAGGGTATCTTCCGAGGTGATCGTGTGCGCCGCCTCGGCCGCCATGGCCATCGCCTTCGATG